GCTTTGCTCCCCGTCTCCCGACCAGCAGACCAGGGAGATGGGGAGCAAAGCCTCGGAGCACGCCCGCAGCGGGACAGCCCAAGCGCGCCTGAGCTGTCCCCCTGCGGGCGTGCTCCAAGGCTTTGCTCCCCGTCTCCCTGCAGACAAGGGGAGCAGCTTTTCTCGCCCCGGAGAACGGGGGCGGCGGACCGCGGCACATCTGGGCGTCCCGCCGCTCCCGTCCTCCGGGGCGAAAAAAGCCCCGTTAGTAACTGCGGATCCGACATAAGTTGGATCCGCGTAACTCGGGGACTGCCTGTATTTCTGCTTGATATGGCATCCTGTTCTAGGAGAGTATGCACTTTGATATGTGGCATGCTGTGACACAGTTCCTTAACCAGCCCTGTATTATCTCTTCAACACTGGGAGTTGAGGATTTGTCACTAAGTGCTTGATGTCAGCTGCATAACTTGTTGCTGCCAAGTTAGGCGCTTCAGCTGTAAGGAGGAAGATACCAAAGACCATAAGGATATAATTTTCAGCATTCCTTAAATATTTTATGTAAACATATCTTGCAGTGATTATGGATATTGATGAATTACAAGCTTCCAGGCAAGATCTTATTATCCACAATAGGTAGCTTAATACCATAAAACAGCACATTAGGTGTAATCAGTTTCAGGTTTGATAAAGGAGTTGATCATAGAGAACCTATTTGCCAGTTGACACCAATGGACCTCACTTATAGGTATATTGATAGGGTACTTAAAAAGTATAAATCATTCCTAACAGTGAAAATAATCTGTGCACTCTATATGTTATAAATTAATCACTGAGTTGCTTTTAAAACCTTTGTGTGGGATACAAAAACATTTTAAAACTAAATACTTTATAATTGGTTTTTAAACATGCAATTTGTTTTTAAAATTTAAAATTATTCCATTAACTTGCTGAATTACTTGACTATATTTAGATCATATTAAACTAACCTAGTTACAGGATTTTATTTTGTATAAAATGTTTCATTTCTATCTCGCTTGAGCTCTGAATGCTTACTGATGACTCAACTGTGGGCTATGAATAAAGTCACCTTTACTTTACTTATAAAACGAATACTGGAAATGCTGGCATCTGGCAAGCATTTAACACAAGGAATACTCCAAGAGTTTAAACCCAAAATTAATCTACAGGCTTTGTACAGTGCAAATGATATTTTAATCAGGCTGCAAAAATAGAAATTTGTCTCCCCCTCCCCCCAAAAAAAGTAAATCCTCACCTGTCTCTTACTACGTATATATGTGTCTTTGTTTCATTTTGTGCAGGCAGTCGTTGCTTCTGTTGGTAGCCAGGTATTTGATTTTCACATTCAGCAGTATTTCCAGTGCTTAGTTTATTCAGCTGCTGCTGATAAAGACAGTAATAAATCACAGACCAAAGATGGAAGAGCCTGGAGTTTTTGTCCTGCACCACTGTCTTTCGGCCACTACTTGCATTCCTTTTAAAAATGTAACAAAAATCCTGCATAGCTATTTTGTTCCCTTTCTTGCATCAGGACTACAGATTTTCTTCTTTCAGGATTGTCTTGATGCTAAAGTATTCGCATATGTGAGAGGATTTGTACAGAATGGCAATAAGTGCTTAGAAGAATCTGTTTCTATAGGGGTTAAAGCAATATAGCTGTGGAACTGCAACTCTGCTTCTGTGACATCATAATGTAGACATACGCTACAGCAGTGAAAGCACAGTCACTCCTGTAGTAAATTGTGCCTCCCTGAGCAACAGTAGCTAGATCAGTGGAAGAATGCTGTAGTCTGGCACGGAGTGTTTAGGTCAGCATGGCTGTGGCACTCAGGAATGGGGATTTTTCACAGTCGTGAGAGCTATAGATATTGTCAACCTAAATTTTAAGTGTAGACCAGGACTTAGATTGTTGCTTATTTTCATAGTGGATTTTGTTTGTTTTACTTGGCTATATGTCATATTCAAGGAAAAAGAACATTATTTGAAATGCACCTTAAGCCAGCATGAGGGAAGTGAAATGATCGTCATGTTGCAGCAAATCTAGAATTTTTCTGAGCAAGCGCACTGAGTGCTGATCTTGTCTAAAGAAGATTTGGTGTGTTTGATCAGCTGTTATTGATTCATTTCAGTAATTCTAATGCTGAATAAGAGGGTTGCTGAGTTGATTCATTTTAGAATTGGCTTCAAATGCTTACACATTTTTTCACACAGCTCTCTGTTTACTGTCTTTGAAGTAAATTTATGTGTTTAAGTGACACTTTCGGGAGAAGCTTCTTTTTGAATTGTTAACATGTTTTGTTTCATCTCCTTTTTCATAGGCTGGTCCAGGGACCATCAATATGGCATCAGGAATCCAGGATTTTAACAGAACAGAATCTGATAGATTAAATGAAATCAAAGGTCACCTAGAAATCGCCTTATTGGAAAAACACTTTTTACGTAAGTGATAAAAATGCTCTTGAATAAGGAATGTTTGAGCTTATTGAAATATGGCTTGGTGTACATGGAGAATATGGAAAACATGCTTGGCAGTGGATGGGATTTTTTGCTTTCTTTGGGTATGCTGCGAGATACCAGATATGAGGTGGTCTTTAAAAAAGTGGTAAGTTTTTGTTCTGTTTTTTTGAGTGTGTTCCTTGACCAGCCCAGGTGGATGGGACTCTGCCACACACTCCTCCAACCCCCTGCCCTGAGTACTCCATTCTACACTTACATTTCTTACAGATACTGTCATATTGCAACCCCACTCCCTACCATGGAGTTGTGATCCTGTAGTGCCTATAAGAAATGTGTTACTTTCTCCCCTGCTATTTAATAATGTAAAATGAAGATACTTTCCATCTCCATGGAGATGCAAAGACTAAATTGAGCATTTATGCAAGAACTTTAAATTTGTACAGAATGGTATATGGGAGCCACGTGCTTTTATGACCTTCAAGACTGTGTAGATCAACAGTTTGTAACCTTTAACACTGTTTCCTCTTCATGCTAATTTTTTCTATTTATAAAGTTATTAGATAGTGATTAATGCAAAGTATGGCTTTTTATATTTTGACGCAAGAGGCATGAACTCACAGATTACTGTTGAGGTCCAGTCCAGGAGATTAGTTCATGAAATCCAAGTTGTATAGATTAATTTGAAGGCCGCGCCCTGATGTAAAAAGCCCTTGTTCATGTTGTCAAAGCATCAGCCTTGCTTAAGATGCAATGACAAAATCTTTTTTGACTAAGGTTGGGTAGCAGCCAATTAAGGATACAAAAGGGAATAGGTTAGTAAATTGCAGTGGCACTAATGAAGAGCTCAGCAAAATATTGCATCTTAAAATGCATTTCTGACCTGATGAGAATAATGTGGCTCCTGATTTACTGTACCAGACCAGAGATTACTTTTCCTTTTTCCTCTCCATTCCTTTCCCCCCTTGTTCTCGGTAGAATAAATAAATGCTAATTCTTATGGAATCAGGCTAGTTAATGCTACCATGCTAACAGCAATGTTTCGTTATCTCCAGAGGGATGAACAGAAGAACATTATGGGCATGTGAGGTCTGTTCACGTTATCCTTGGAGGATAGGTTTCAAAATGGATGACAAGAGTTGGACTATCAAAAGTAAAATATAGGAAACAGTAAAAGGAGGCTTGTCATGCAACTACCTGCAAAATGCATCTTTAATAAAAAGAGGGAAATTCATATTTTGAAAAGTAAGATAAATATTCACAATCCTAAGGAAGGGTAGAAGAGAGAACAGCAAAATAGAGACAATGGATTTCAGGAAGGCAGATTTTGGTAAGCACAGAGAGCTGATAAGTAAAGTCAAATGGGAGTCAAGACTGAGGGGAAAAACAACTGAGGAGAGTTGGCAGTTTTTCAAAGTGACATTATTAAGGGTCCAAAACAAGCTATTCTGCTGTGTCGGAAAGATAGAAAATATGGCAAAAGGCTGCCTTGGCTTAACCACGAGATCTTGCATGATCTAAAAATAAAAAAGGAGTCATATTAAAAAATGGAAAGTAGGACAAATTACAAAGGATGAATATAGGCAAACAACACAGGAATGCAGGGGCAAGATTAGAAAGGCAAAGGCACAAAATGAGCTCAGTCTAGCTATGGGAATAAAGGGAAACAAGAAAACTTTTTATAAATACATTAGAAGGAAGAGGAAGACCAGGGACAGGGTAAGCCCACTGCTCAGTGAGGAGGGAGAAACAGTAACAGGAAACTTGAAAATGGCAGAGATGCTAAATGACTTCTTTGTTTCGATCTTCACTGAGAAGTCTGAAGAAGGAACGCCTGACATAATGAATGCTAGTGGGATAGGGGTAGGTTTAGAAGACAAAATAAAAAAAAGAACAAGTTAAAAATCACCTAGAAAAGTTAGATGCCCTCCACAGATTTTGACCTGGGATGGTAGGAAACATAGAGAGCAAGCTGGGAACAAGTTTCCATAAGAACAACTCAGAAAACTGCAGACCAGTTAGTTTAACTTATGTGCCAGGAAGATAATGGAGCAGGTAATTAAGGAAATCATCTGTAAACACTTGGAAGGTGGCAAGATGATAGGGAACAGCCAGCATGGATTTGTAAAGAACAAATCATGTCAAACCAATCTGATAGCTTTCTTTGATAGGATAAAGAGTCTTGTGGATAAGGGAGAAGCGGTGGATGTGGTATACCTAGACTTTAGCGCGGGCGGGGCACGCACAGAACGTGTCCCGCACGCGGGGGGGCGGGGCGGCCTGAGCCCTGCTCCCCGCGCTGCTCGCTGCCTGGGGGCGGGGCCGGGTGCCCGCTGAATCCCCCCTGTGCCCGGGGGGGGATGCTCTGGCCCTGGCTGCCCGCAGTGCCGCCCAGTGCCCGGCTGTGCCTCCTGCAGAGGCCGAGAGCGTCCTGGGTGGGGGCGTGTGGGGAGAGGGGGGGAGTGGCTGAGAATTGGGGGGCAAACAGGGGACAGACAAACCAACCGACAGAAAAGCCTCCCTGCCTGGCCCCCAGCTGAGCGGAGAAACGTCCCCCTGGCGCCAGAGCACTGCAGGGCCCAGCCTAGTCGCTTTGTGCGCTCCAGCCCCACGGCGTGGGGAGGGGGCGACGGTGGAGGAGCCCCACGCACCCAGGCCTTAGGTTCCCCACCCGCCTTCTAAGCACTGAGCATTTTAGGCCTGGCTGGACTAGAGAAGGGGGCACCAGGGGAGTTGCCGCTGAAGGCGCGCGGCCGCGCACAAACACCCCTCTGCCGCCCACCTCCCTTGCGGAGCCTTGCAGCGGCACTCGCCTTCCTGCTGGCCGGGGAATGGCGCGGTTGTTTTCCTGATCTGGTGGAGGGCGGCTGCCCCGTTGTGTCCCTGCTGGGGCAGCCTCGCCCCACCTCCAGCTGCGATTGGGGCTTCTGTTTGTTTCTGTTCATACAGTTTGCTGCAGTTTTCCATCCCGGAGGACCTGCGTGAAGGTGGTCCGACCAGAGATACGGGGATCGATTTTTAAGAGTAAGAGGTTTTGTTTTTAAAGCAGGGGTGAGGAACCTAATACCCCAGCTCACGTGAGTGTGGCCCTCGAGACTCAAGGTTCCCACACTAACGCTCTAGCTCCCCTCCAGATTGGTGATAGAAATGTAGCCGTGTTAGCCTGGGGTAGTTGAAGCAAAATGCAGGACAATGTAGCACTTTAAAGACTAACAAGATGGTTTATTAGATGATGAGCTTTCGTGGGCCAGACCCACTTCCTCAGATCAAATAGTGGAAGAAAGTAGTCACAACCATATATACCAAAGGATACAATTAAAAAAAAAAATGAACACATATGAAAAGGACAAATCACATTTCAGAACAGGAGGGGGATGCGGGGGGGTGGGGAAGGAAGGAAGGTAAGTGCCTGTGAATTCAGCATAACTCCATGGGGCAGCATAACTCCGTGGGGCCCCCCTTTGCCACAGTGCATGCGCCGTGATGCCATGCGCGGTGGCGCCACGGCGCATGCGCGGGGTTTTTTTAAGCGCGGGCCCGGGGCGGCCGCCCTGTTTGCCCTGCCCTATATCCGCTCCTGCTCACAGCAATCTAGAAGTCACAAACATAGGAAAAAAAGCCAAGTTGTGAGAGATTTTTGGAGCATCTTTACAGATATCAAAGAAGCACTGATATCCATTTTTTTGATAAAGTTTTCTTCTACCGGTTGAACCTCTCTGGTCGGGCACCCTCCTGACTGGTGCTGAACCAGAGAATTTGCTAGACCACAGTAGGTCAATATTGTCTAGCAGCATTACCAACACCTCCACTACTTATTTCTTTGAAGAAATTTAGGAGTAAATTAGATCTAGGACTAGTAGCTGTAAACAAACTTTATGGGACAACGGGAGACTTGGCCACACTGATCATAAGTTCAAAGGGTGACAGTTGGCACACACACTGATAGTTTCATGGGGCTTCCTTTTTATTCATGAAATATCCTACTAATCCTCCGCCTTTCCTTGTCACTATTAACTGACTAGTGCTTTGTAGACTTCATCGGGGAAAGGAGGAATGAGATGTAATGGAAAACTGCCTTTTGTTTACACATAAACAACTGTTAGCATACACAGGACATACCGCTGAAAAGAGAATACATTTATCTTACTTTTCAAAATCAGAATTTCCTTCTTTATGCAAGATGCATTTTGCAGATAGTTGCACGACAAGCCTCCTTTTACTGTTTCCTATATTTTACTTTTGATAGTCCAACTCTTGTCATCCATTTTGAAACCTATCCTCCAAGGATAAACTGAACAGACCTCACATGCCCATAATGTTCTTCTGTTCATCCCTCTGGAGATAACGAAACATTGCTGCTAGCATGGTAGCATTAACTAAAATCATACTGGACCATGGATGTTGCTGGACCAGAAAGTGCCAGACTAGAAAGTTTCAACCTGTAGTTAGCACCAGTGATGGTTTCTTTCAAAATCCTTTTTTGTTTTCTGGCTGATGCTAGGAGGAAAAAGCAGGCTTAATGCAAATGCAGTTTCTTGGTTTCTTTATGGTTTTTATTTGTGACCTAGAGTCTAAAACTAATAGAGATACTTTTTCGATTTGGAAGATTAAATGCAGAAAAGACAGGGTATGTGGAGGGAATGAAACAATGGACAGGATGGTGGAAGTCTAAGTTGGGCCAACTAAGTGTCTCACATGAGTTCAGGGGTGTCTGTGTTACTCAGCACTTGTTCCAGGCCAGTTTCTTGTTCAATTGTTCTTAAATAGAAATACATAATTTGGAGACATGTATAAATTAGTGCATTTATAATTAATACACTTACTATGGTTTGCTAATAAATCCTATTTGGATGCTTAAGCATTTGTTTTCTTTAAGGGTATATGTTACCCCTAAAAATCTGACATATATTTGCTACATTTTAACAAAGCTCCAACTATGGCATCACAATATGATACTAAACTAATACTGCTGTGCCATTTATCTG